AAGCAATGCAGCCTGGTCCGAGGGGGCCGAAGCAAGATGCCGCATCGACTGTACTTGAACTTTTTCAACGTGCCCATGCAGATGCCACCTGCTCTGGATTTACCATGGTCCTCGTAGGCCGCCGAAAGCATGCCGAAGTAGTCTGCCTTCCTCCAGTCATTTAGCAAATCGTGAGAGCCCGACTCGGGCACGTGGGTCTCGGGGAAGATGAGGACATCCGTTTCACGAGCACGACAGATCGCGTAGCAGGACCCCACCCTCCCGGGTTTCTTATATACAAAGAGCGTCGCGTAGCATTCGAACACTCCGATCCTGACATCCGTTTTTTGAAAACCGCATCAAGCGCCGGTGGGGATGAGGGCGGCGCCAAGCCGCTCCGACAGCCGAAATCGCGGAGGAGGATGAGGAGGAGGACTCGGAGGTGGTTTTGAAGGAGGAAGGGGAGGAGGAGGAGGATTTGCAGGAGCAGAGGAGGAGGAGGAGGAAAAGGAGGAATTTTTGGGGAGGAGGAGGAGCAGGAGGCGGAGGAGAAGGAAGAGGAGGAGGAGGAGGAGGAGGAGGAGGAGGAGGAGGAGGAGGGGGAGGAGGAGGGGAGGAGGAGGAGGGAGGAGGAGGAGGAGGAGGAGGAGGAGGAGGAGGAGGAGGATTTGGAGGATTTCGGGGAGGAGGATTTGGAGGAGGAGGATTTGGAGGAGGACATGAGGATTTGGAGGAGGATTTGCAGGAGGATTTGCAGGAGGATTTGGAGGAGGATTTGAATGGGTATCTGGAGGAGGATTTTGAGGAGGACCTGGGGGAGGTCTTCGAGGAGGATTTGGAGGAACAGGAGGAGGATTCGGAGGAGGATTTGAATAAGGATTTCGAGGAGGATTTAGAGGAGGATTTGGATAAGGAGTTGCAGAAGGATTTGCAGGAGGATTTGGAGGAGGATTTGGAGAAGTATTTGGAGGGGGATTTGGATGAGGATTTGGAGCAGGAGTTCGAGGAGGATTTGGCGGAGGATTTGGAGGAGGAATTGGAGGCGGAGGTGGAGGACGAGGAGGAGGAACATGATGCTGATGATGATGCTGATGCTAATGATGATGATGCTGAAGATGATGCTGCTGATGATGATGCTGATACTGATGCTGATGATGGTGTTGATGATGCTGATGCTGATGATGCTGATGCTGATGATGACGATGCTGATGCTGCTGATGATGATGCTGCTGCTGATGATGATGATTCTGATGGTGCTGATGACGCTGATTATGATGATGATGCTGATGCTGATGCTGACGATGATGATGCTGTTGCTGCTGATGATGCTGATGATGACGATGGTGGTGATGATGATGATGCTGATGAGGACGATGATGAGGATGATGATGATGCTGCTGTTGATGATGATGACGATGATGCTGATGATGATGCTGATGATGATGACGATACTGATGAGGATGACGATGATGATGATGATGATGCTGCTGCTGATGGTGATGATTATGATGATGATGCTGATGCTTCTGATGGTGATGATGATGGTGATGAGGACGATGATGATGCTGATGCTGATGATGCTGCTGATGATGCTGATGACGATGATGATGATGATGCTGCTGCTGATGATGATGCTGCTGATGCTGATGCTGAGGCTGATGCTGATGATGATGATGATGATGATGATGGTGATGATGATGAA